AGAAAGAAAGAAAGAAAGAAAGAAAGAAAGAAAGAAAGAAAGAAAGAAAGAAAGAAAGAAAGAGATAGGCAGTGAGGGAAAGAGAAAAGAAAAACTGATGTCGTAAGTTTAGATTTATCTCACATCATAGATAACCTTAAAGAAGTAAATTGCAATTCTGGTGGAATTTTAGACAGTGTTTGGGGTTTTCCATGTCAGGAAATTGGACCAACCACTGTGAACTTCTTTTACCTTCTTCGTCATCATTTCACCTGTTTAAGAAATGACCTTTCCACGTGTCACTCACTGGTGAGATTGAGGAATCCAAAAAGGAAAGTGCTTGTTAATAACGTGGAATCTTCTTATTTCAGTTGTCTCAAGTCTGTGTTTTAAAGGATCCTCTTCCTAAGAATTCTCATTCCTCTCTTTTCTAGAGATGCATCCCTAAACCAAAAGAAGCTAAAACATTTTGATGGATCCCTTGGCCATGTATTTATTCATACATAAAATATGTGCAACTTCTCTATAGCCCCCTGTATCTAAATCTACCTTGATCCTGACTCTAGGCATGGTTACCTACTTGTTTTGAAATTACCCTATTTCTTTCCTGTTTGTCTATTCTGAAGAAATGTCAAACTTTTTATTAGTTAAGCAAGTAATCAAACACTTTGATTCCTGGCTTTATCTCCAAGCCAATACCAGTAGTGTTGAGTAGGATCCAAGCTTCTTGATCCAAAACTCTGGTTCTTTTATTTCTGAGGCGAAATAATTAATAAAATATCTTTTGTATGTCTAAATTATAGGGGCTAGAATTCTAGTCTTGAACACGTAGCTATTTCATGAAGATCAATGTGAACTCCAGAGTAACAGAAATTACTGTTTTGAGTATGTATTAATTGAAAGCACCATAGCAAACTTTTTTCATATAGTGTTAAATTTATCTGAACAACACTATAGGGTGGTCATATAATCATCCTTTTACAAACAGAATTATTGAGGGTCAGAAAAGTTAAGTAAAAGTTGCCTGAGGACGGAGAGCTTAAAACTTAGTAATTGCAAATCTGGGGCRGGGTCCATCCCAATTTTTATGTTAAAATCTTTACTCTTAACCACTTTGTCAATGTCTCAATCAAAAAGAAGAAGAAATAGGGAAACGATGTCTTTGGAGTCACTTCTAAATTCTAGTGTCCACTCTTAAACTCTTGACTCATGGAACTATAAATCAGATGATTTGGCTGATGTAAATTACATAACAAGATATAATTTAAAGTAACTTCTGTTTATACCTTTTTCATATTTGTACATGATTATTGGCAAATGGTATTACACCATTGAATAAATTACATTTTCCACTGCTTTTCCTGCAAGATTAAATGCCAGAATATAAAGCTTGATGTAGTTCTATAATTTGTCTGGTTAAAATGACAGTTTCAAGTACGGCATTGCTTCTGAGATGGTAGATGTTAATTTAAAATTGTTAATAGTGTAGAAGCTAAGGGCCTAGAATTTCATCCTGTCTCCCCACCCGGCTCCTCCAGGGTTATTCCCATCCTTTGTCAGAGCCCTCCCAGAAACCAATCACCCCACCCTTGGTAGAGACCAAGAATAGCACAATGACCTTCAGTCACACTGAAAAGAGACCAGGGAGCAAGAATGTGGGGGTCATCCAGCGAACCTCATTAATGGGATTTTCAGATGTTGATATGACTCTTGGTACTGAATAGAGGGATTCAAATAGACAAGAGCCTACCTTATCCTTATGGTATGTACAAGTGCATACAATGTATTCACTCGTACTCCCTAGATTAGGCCTAATGTTTCATTTTCCACAGGGCTTCTCCTGTGCCCCATCACTCTATGGTCAATGAGTCTTCATTTTCTCCTACATACCTCCTTATAATTCCCTACTGCTGGCTCCAGAGCTCATGCCTTTCCTTACAGTGTGTTGGGATAGACTAGTTGCCAAGTGGATCAGCATCTTAGATGATGAGGCAGGTCAGCAGAGGGCATGTTAGGCATTGTTGTACATTTACGTTTCCTTGCAATGCAAATAGTCAACACTGTGCCTCTTTTCCAGCAATTTTTTAAAGATGTGCTGGACTTTTAGTATACTTGTTTAGGGAACTTTGCTTTTACCATGAATTACACACAATTTTTCTAGAATTGCTGATAAAGAGAGTTTGGGAACATACTGAACTAATTTCATCCATAACTTTGCTATGTGAGTTAACAAACGTTTATAAAGTTATTATATTTATTTCAGGGGATTTTTTCATCTGATAGAGGCATTTTTGACATTGTCAATGATATATATAACTAATATTGATATCAGACCGAGTTCCACTTAAGGGGATAATTGTAATCTTTTAGTAAAGAAATGTGTTAATTTTTGTAGCTCCATGACCAAGAATAACTTCTTTAATTTCAGAAAGTGTTAAAAAAAAAAAACTGTTTGCTTTAAACTTTTCAGCTCTAACTAAATCTCTGCTCTCTCTTTTCCTGTTTCTGAGCTTTTGTGTCTTGAACACATACTATAAAAATGCTAATTCACTGAGCATTTGTTTTGAGCCAGGCACTTAAAATATATAATCCTAGCTATTGGAGAGGATGAGGCAGGAGGATCACAAGTTCAAGGCCATCCTCAGCTACTTAGTGAGACTCTGTCTCAAAATTTCTTAAAAATTTTAAAAAGGGTTGAGGCTATAGCTTGATGGTAGAATCCCCCATATTTAATCCCCAGTAACAAGAGTAACAGCAATAGCAAGACTAGCGAAATGTCTGACTTCAGCTTGCTGAATCCGCTATTTGAAATTGTAAATGCCATGAGAATATTTCTACCTTTAATTTTTTGAAACCTAATTTGAATGCTTTTCATGTCCTCAGAAGAGTAGCCAGGAAATGATCTCTGCAAACAATATTCATCTGGATTTCTTTTTCATGGAATGCAAAGGTTATAAGCAGAAATTTCTTATCACAGGCTCAGAGGAGCCTGACGATTTTTAGTGCACCTCTGAAATAGGATAAAATGAAAGTTCGAAAAGGTAGCCCAATAAAATTCAAATTTGACTTGAAAATTTATGGAAAGAAATATTCTAATTAATTCAGGTGTTCTGATTAAATCATATTTACCCAGAAAATTGTTTGCTTTAAACTTTTCAGCTCTAACTAAATCTGTACTATCAGATTGCTTGCATGTTATTATCTCTCTCTTAAGATATTCTACTTACTTATTTTTAAATTTTTTGTCATAGCTTTATTGAGGGAAAATT